ATTGTCTAACTCTATTGTTTGGGTAAATCATGTTTGGGTAGAAATTTCTGGAACAGTTGTTTGAATAAAATATATTTCGAGAGTTTGAATGAGAACGATTTCTATAATAAATTGAGTAATTACTTCTGTTTGATCTTGATCTTGGATAGTTATATTGATATTGATTGTTTTGACTGTTTGATTGACTATATCTATTCTGTGCAAAATTTCGTAAGCTACTTCGATCTGTAGATCTTCCGCGATAGTTATTTCAATAAGCCGATTGTTGTCTATAGGTTTTCTTGTTATCTGGGAGTGGTTTTCCTGAACTATTATTACTGTGAATGTTTTTGTTTGGTAAAATCTGTTCGTTTTTCCTGAACTGATAAAACAAAGAATTGGTTCTCTATATTTCTGTGGTTTGTTCTGACTATCTTGTTGTTTTTGTCTACATTCAACGATGCTATGTCCATTTCTACGGCAATAGTTACACTACTTTTTGAATGATGGTTTAACTTTAAAATTTGGCTTTTTATCGTACATATTTAATATTTGAGTGATTTTTCTAGCCAGTTCAGTGTAAGAGTTGTGGATGTTATTTAATTCACAAGTAAATAACATTCACGACTCTTACACTGAACTAGCTGAAAAAATTATTCAAGTTTTAAATATCTACGATAAAAAGCCATAGTTGTATGGACGTTGTATACGTATTGTAACTTTAAAATTTCTGTTTCTTCCAATTTCATAGTGATTTCAGCTTGTTCTAGTTTGTCTACTAGTTTTTGTAAATCTATATCAGGTTTTCGAATTGAAGATGGATGTGATGTTCTTTTTATGGCTTTTTTCGTAGTTGTGGTGTTAAAGTCATCATTAAGACTTCTGTCATCTTTGTGTTTTTAAATCATGCGTATTAAGAGAATATGCTTTTCTCAGTAATGTTTAGATTCTTACTGCATTTTGCTTTATTGTTCTATCAGGGAGTCTACGGATTTCGTTGCATAGAACTTTTTGTTGTTGTTTATTTCTTTCAGAGTCGAACGTTTTTGAAAGTTCTTGTGTGAATCTTTTCCAGTCTAATTCAAAATCTATGGATAAAACTGAAAACCCTTTTTGGGCTGCGCCATCAATTGTGGTGCGGGTTAGAGCTGTGCGTCTATATATCCAATTTTGATGAAGTGGCGTATTTCCTGGTTCAGGTCCTATACTTAAAGTTAAGTTCGCCGTAACTGCGTTTAAATAATCTTCTACTGAGTATTCAGGATTTGTTCCTGTGAATACCATTGGTGGTTTACTAGAAGATATAAAAGATTCGCACATAAGGTATGGATTCATCGTTTTTTGTAGTGATTCTGCGGCATTTGGATTTTGAGAAAAATTTATAAGTTGTGTTTTTGTAATTTCATGTTGTTTTGAACAATATGGTAATGGGATTTCATTTTGCATTTGCGTTGGTCGATAACTTTGTGTGCTTATAGGGTTTTGCGATTGAAAATATTTTCATATGATGCTGAGTTTTATCTTGTTTGTCGTGTTTGTTCATTTCGCGTATATGGTTCAAAAAGATCTGGTTGGTAAATAAGATCTGCTTGATCAATAGTTGTTGATTTTGACTATACTAATTTTCATCTTCTGATTAATGTGGCTGATTTCTTGCAAGATGTTTATTAGATATATTTTCATTTAGTGGAGAGAAAGTGAAAGTTTTGCTACGATCCACTGTAGCTCGTGGTTGATCGTTGAAAAAAAAACTGAGTGAGAGGCTGGTTGTGGTACTTTTTGATTGTAGTTTTGTGCTTGTGATTGATTTCGACTATTCATAGAGGGGGTTTTGTTATTTTGTTCTTTTTTTGCAAAAAAATTGTAGTTATGATCTGAAAAGCTGTTTCCATTAGACGTTTTTTGTTTATTTGTTTGTCGTGATGTTGTTACTTGTTTAAAGTTTGATAATCGTTTTGTGAGTTTTTAGGAGTAACAGAAGGTTTTACTGTGGATTGCATAGTTGTTCGCGGAAATGCTGTGTTTTGTTTTTTGGAGTTTTTAGTGTAGGATTAATGTGGGAAAGGTTTTGTTGTGTAGTTGTTGGCATTGTTTCGACTTTTTCTCCACCAATGAAATGTGATGGAGTTTAGATATCTTGTTGTGTAAGATTTCTTGTTTCATTAAATTTTCTTGTGTATTAATGAATGTGGAGTTTCATTTATTATTTCCTGTTCTCTCAGTGAGTATCGCATTATAATTTAAAGGTGTTGCATCAATAGTAAGTGGAGTGTTTCTAACGTAGTTTTTATCAACAGAGATAGTAGCGATTGCTGTACTTGACATATCAGTTGTCGTATTATTAAATGATGGATGAGACCAATCAGGGTCTGCTAATAAAGTTTCATTGTCTGAGCTTTGCGGTCGAAAACTTTTTTTTGTGCTATGAGATCCATGTTATGGACAAAATATTCAATTATAAACCATGCTAGTATTCTTTGTAAATCATATTTGACATTTTAGGAAATTTTGTTACTAATAAAGTTTTCACGGATTGTGTCTAAAATTTTGAGAAAAGGTAGATTTCTAGTCTTAGAGTTGAGTGTCGGAATGTTTGAGGCGGTGACTCATTTTGTATTTTGTTCAGTTCAAATATATATACATAGCTACAAAAAATGAAAAAACATCATTTGTGAATTTTGAATTTGCTCTTTGTGAGTTTCATGTTCGATCATTTTTTATGTTGTAGAACTGTTAATGTGTAACTTTCAATATGTCTTATCGGTTGATTTCAATTCTATAGGCGTATTGGGTTTGTTATTGCTTGATTTCTTTATTCCGCAATTTTCATTAATTGATGATGGTGTTGTAGCGTCTGAGTCAGAAAAATTTATTTGATCTCCTATCGGGCTATTCTTATTTATTGAATCTTTCAAGTCTTGAAGTTCCAGTATTTTGTTAGTTTCTGATTCTGAGACTGCGTTTTGTCTTTTTTAAATTCTTCTTGTGATGATTTGCTTTTGTTTTGTTATAGTTGTCTTTTTTCGTGTTTGTCTTTTTGACCTAATATATCCTATTGTTTGTCTGTGAGGTGTGATAACAAGAACGTATCTGTCATTTTTAATTAAGCAATTATGTAATATGATTGTTTGTTCACTGCCTAGATTATCTCTTGATATAAGGCTTAGGATGATGGGTGCACTAATTTGAGGTTAGAGTTTTTATTTTCCTAAACTGTTAGCTCTTACGGTTTTTGTGTGGTTATCCTAACTTGGGGCATAGATTGTCGCGGTTGACGGGTTGGAGAGAGAGTATATCTTTTCGTGAAATTGATTTTTTACTTTCTCTTGACTAGGTTTTAATTTATGATTGACTTACTTTATCTTATCTAGGGGCTGTGATTTTCGGTCAAGGGTTGGAGAATAGTAAATCAATCCACAAGGTTCAGGTATAATTAACACACATGTAGATCGTTAGATACTATTTTATTTCTTACTAATTGCTTAAAGTTTTAGCCTGGGTCATCTAAGAGGAAGTGCTCAAGTGAACGATGAGTAATCGAAGTTCTTCACTGTCTATCTTAATTCAAATGGTTAGTTTTTCAAAAATTTCTGGTTGCCTTGGGTCGTTAATAAGGGTTGGGGTGTGAATTGACGTTTGAGGTCCTTAGACAATTTTTATATTATGGGATGGGGAGGACAAAATTGTTCTGATTTGATCCAAGGAAAACCTTGATGATCAATAATAAATAAATAAACTTAGGTTTAAGTGATATTAAAGATCCAAGGAAAGCCTTGATGATCTTTTTATGAAAAAAAGTGAGTTATGGAAAAGCAAGGATAAGCCTTGATACGTTTTTATGAAAAAGTAATGTTTAGATGATATTAGTTTTTTGAGTTTATGCTGTTATGTTTATGGTGATGAATCTGAGATGAGAAAAATTATGTGTATTAAATCATGAAACTAACAATGAATTCTAATACTAACTAATTTTTGTATTTTTCATTCAATAAATTATTAATTCAAAAATTTTGATTTACTGAAAATTTTTGGAGAAACGACTTGTGTTCTTTTTATCAGTCGTTATTGTTTAAATTGTTGGTTTAGCACCAAATGAGTTGTTGAACGATTTTTTTTCAAAAAACTTTCATGTCAATAAATGAAAATTTAATTTTGCTGCATAAAGTATTCTAAATACGAAAACTTATTCCGGTTTCTGTCGTTCTATCATGTAGTAGATTGGTCCGGTTCCTGATCGTTGTTCACGCATTGATCTTGGTCTTTTTGCAATACCTGGTACTTCTTGTATTGTTTGAAAAATTGGCGTAGATTTATTGAGACGTAGAAACATTTCTAATAAATTGTCTATTCCATGTAACATTTTTGCAATTTTGCAGTTGTCTAATTCCAAGTTTTGTTGTCTAATTCTAAAATGTATTATCTAATGTTAAGTTAGTTAAGGTCTTGTTCGAGAGTTTCGGTCGCACCAGATGAGTTATGACCTTTGGCCTGTACTCATAGAGTAATTTCAGATAAGTTACACCGTCTGTTCGTCACGCTATCTTATTTTGGACCGGATAGATTCGTTCAACTTCTTAGTATAATACCAATCTTGGTCTTACTCTTATATCTCCTAGTCTCAATAGATCTAGTGTATACTGGTTTTCGCGAGTTAGTTCTTAGAGTTTATCCAGAAGGAGAACAACTGTATTCTAAGATTTATTCAAATTATTCTGGTGCTGAAACTACAAGTAGTTTCAGCACTTACAAATAAGTGTCAATGTTAGAGATGGAATCTGATTGGTTAGTTAGTAATATTTTATAGAGGTAATTTATCAATAATACAATTGGTTTAAAAATATTAGTTTAGAACTGGTTCCAATAGACCATAGATTAATGAACGTGGAAATTCAAAAAAAGAGCTAGCACAATGCATTATTCTTGTTGAAATAATCAAGGCTGTTTCTTTTTGGTGTAAGCGGTTTGACTATACATTAGCGAATTTTTTTCTTTGTCCTTATTTTATTGTAAATTTTGCTTACGATAAAAGTACTGATGGCAGTATGAGTATTCTAGTGTAGAATGCGGATCTCCTGGCCAGAGTGAGCGTGTATTTGATCCTGGAGAACCCCTCCTCCTGGTAGAACAGGGGGTCCACAGTCACTTCTGCACAGACCACGCCCTCTAGACTCCACTCTGAGTTCAACTGGTAGTCTAAAAACCAAAAGAGATGAGAAGGGTTCATTTGTTTGTTGGAAACACTTTAGCTTGCCCAGGGGGATTTGTTTCTTTTTTTTTGCCGCTTGTTACAAATTGTCACTTGTTACAAATTGTCGCCTGTAATGAATTGTCGCTGCACCTTTATTAACAAATCTTTCCATAACAAAGCATTGAGAACAAATCCAGATGTTTAGTGTACTAATTTACATTTTTTGGTACATATTTGATGGATTTTATATATTTAAAAAACAAAGCTTTAATGGCTATCCCATCTGCCAAAATTCAATATGCTTCTTACGTGAAGTATCCAAGCATGGAATTTTGTTGTTGATGAGCTCCAGTTTGGATTCTGATCTAGTCCATGAGCCCACCCATATCTCACACGTCTGAGTGTCGAAGGGGAAACTGGCCATCTGCAGCAAAAATATGCAAAGAGGAAAACTTCAATTTGCATTAGTTAACCAGATACATACAAAAAGCAGAAGCTAAATTATATGCCTAGAGGCAAATCCTATAGAGCAATACTGCTCATTGGTTAGGATATCCAGGAGAGGAAAAATACAGTCAATTTTTATCAAAACTTTTATTCATATTTTATTTTAAAATAGTTTTTACGTAGTGGGCTGGAGTTATGAAACAGTTTGTAAAGGCCCCGTTTTTTTTCAATTAGGGAATAAAAACTGCTGAAAGAATCTCATACAGTTGAATAGTGACATTTCAGTGATATTTCCAGGTAAAACCTTACAGAAAACGAGCTTTGTTAATTGTTTTCCATTAGATAATTGATTGATTCAATTCTACATTCGATTAACACTGCTCATTGAAATTTCACAATTTCAGTTAGGTGAGATTGGAACGTTTTACCATCAACTAGAATACCAAAACTGATTGTCGGGTTATCATAAGATTTACAAATTTGAACCATCTGGTGTTAGAAGTAGAAATGTCAAGCTTTCCATCAATGCCTGAAAACTTGATCAATTTTTTTCCATACGTCTTCAATATGTGGTTTGGAAGAAGGTTTATTATCTACAAACAACTTTGAACACTTGCAATCATTTGTAACTTGAACTGAAAGACCTAAAGCAAAAAATCATATGAGAAGTTGCTACCGAAGTGCATAGTTTCAAGTCTTAACCGGAGTGACACTTGGACTATTTATATGAACCAGGTACCATTTTTCTAAAGAGTATCTGAAATTATCTCAGCGACTTTTTTTGCGATGCATATATCATCAAATAGCACGATCTTAGATCTCTCCACTATATTGGGAAGATCATTTATGTATAACAAAAACAAAAGCAAAAGTAGTCCTTAAAATGATTACTGAGAGACTCCACGTGCCAAAAACATAAGGATGATCTGTTGCTATCAGCTTGAATTATCTGATACCTGTTTTCAAATTTTTTTATAGCTCGACCTCTATAGCAAATCTTTCTGAATTCGCTAGTAGTACATCATAATTGATCGTATCGAATGCTTTCTTGAGACCAGCAAGCGAGATTCACCATCAATTTTTTTTATCCTACCCATCCCTAAAATTTTCGCAAATAGACTTAAAAGGCTGCAAGTTTTGTCTGAAACTATTTGTATAGATAATTTAAGTATTTTGTCGATCATGCCATCATGACATCAAGTTCCTTTGTTCTTCAGTATGTTTATTGAAGTTTCCACCTCCTCCAAAGATATCTCAGTAAGGACCACACCTTTTCTTTTCTAATTAAGTTTTTGCCATTGTTATGATCATATGAAGGGCCTTGCAATTTTTTTCCTATTGAAGAAAAATTTCATCATCAAAACACTCCTTTTTTTTGGAAAACTCATTAGAAGCTTGGAACAATGTATGACCGTTTTGACCATTTCCAATTTTTTGTCGAATTTTTTCGTTTTTTGGTTTCTGATTACCTTTGTTGCATAACTTACAGTCTTAGAATCTTCAAAATCCTTTACTGTAGTAAGATTTCGAACCCAATTTCGTTTATTTGATCAACTTCGAAAAAAAAGAGATCAATTTCGAAAAAAAAAGTTTTTTAAACAAAGTTTTTTATCAAGGTTTCCATATGTGTAGAATGCAGACCATTTATTTTCTGATAAAGATTTGTAAGGTAATCATTGCAATATAGATTTATAAGATTTGGAAAAACTTTATCCGGACACTGGGAAATTTTATCCGGGTGGTCAGATTCATCGTAAACAGATATATACAAAACCCCAAAACAAAATCTGATGTAAGCTGCGATAACTCGGGTGGGCTCACTGTTCAAAATACGTGCACCAAATCTATAGTTATATGGTTCATATATGATTTTGAAGTCTGCATGGATTCCAAAGTGTCGATATTGAAATCACTACAAACAAAAAAAAACAGTTTCAAATTCTTTGAAATATAAAAGATACTCCTTAAATTTTTTCAAAACGACGAATTCGTTATTATTTTGCGGGATTTATATACTACACAAATTTTAACTCTGAATGGTTTGTCTAATAGAAATGCTCATACTTTTCAATTGAAAGTCTATATCGTGAATACTAAAATTCACACGAATTCAAACATAAAAAGCGTGCCCACCACTTCTTTGCTTTTTTCGATGTTTTGAAACTTTAGGAGAGTAACCTTTCAAATGATAAAAATCGAGACTATCACTACCAAAAAAAGGCAATAGCCGGAGATAAATTTTTACCCAAGAAATGCTTCGCTTGAACCGAGATTAAAAACTCGTGGCATGTTGTTTCTTTAATCTCTTCTGAGTAAGAACGGCTGTTCTCAGAAAAAAAGTTGTTATTTTAGAGAGAAGGTTCTTAATTGTTATTTTAGTTGAAACAAACTTGAAGGGGGGCTTTGCGATTTTTTGATCGAAATTTTCCAAAAAATGCCTAAAAATGCCGTTTTTGGCCTTTTTTCAAAAATTTGGCTGCGGCGCAGAAAATTTGCTCAAAATAGAGGGTATTTTTAGTGATTTGGGAGAGCTCAGAAAATCAGTTTGGTCGACCAAAAGAAAATCGACAAAATTTTCAAAACTTTTTTGAAAATCCGAAACCCCCCCCCCCTCCCCTCCCCTCGAGAAATTCTTAGATCCGCGCCTGGGTGATATTACAAACAACTTGTTAGTGGTCCAGTACATCAACTGGGTAGAGGGTCCATATTATAAAACACTTACTTCTAGTTTGCAGAACACTCTCAGGTGTTGTGGGGTGTCCATAAAAACTCTGCCTTCGTCGGTCACCGTAACTGGGACCACGTTCTCCCTTATGTAGTAGTTCTCCCTCCCTATCTGAAAAGAAATCCCTCATTGGTTATGTTTGACCTTGATGCGTATATGATGTTATGTTGACCTGAATGCTGAATGTCTCTCATATTGAATCAGGGGCGGATTAAGGGGAGGCGGGGGGGGGGGCGGACGCTTCCCTTTTCTCAGGGATTCGACCACCTGCCGACCCAAAGGGTCCCCCCTTTGGTACTTTTTAAGAAATCCAATTTTGGCCGACCGACCCTAAAATTTTTCTAAAGGCGCCTGTGGCGCCAATAAATACTATTTTGAAATTTGGCAAAAACATTGTCTTTTTAGTGCTTTAGGAGAGCTCGGAAAATCAAATTGGTCAGCTAAGAAAAAAAAGGTCGTCAAAATTTTCGAAAATTTTTGAATACCCGGATCGAGGACAGCGACTAATTTTTCGACTTTGTCGGTCGCGGAAATGTTAATTCCGCGGCCGAAAATCCATACATACATACATACATACATACATACATACATACAAACATACATATATACATACATACATACACACATACATACATACATACATAAATACATACATACATACATACATACATCCATACATACATACATACATACATACATACATACATACATACATACATACATACATACATACATACATACATACATACATACATACATACATAAATACATACATACATACATACATACATACATACATACATACATACATACATACATACATACATACATACATACATACATACATACATACATACATACATACATACATACATACATACATACATACATACATACATACATACATACATACATACATACATACATACATACATACATACATACATACATACATACATACATACATACATACATACATACATACATACATACATACATACATACATACATACATACATACATACATACATACATACATACATACATACATACATACATATATACATACAGACACATACATACATACATACATACATACATACATACATACAAACATACATATATACATACATACATACACACATACATACATACATACATACATAAATACATACATACATACATACATACATACATCCATACATACATACATACATACATACATACATACATACATACATACATACATACATACATACATACATACATACATACATACATACATACATACATACATACATACATACATACATACATACATACATACATACATACATACATACATACATACATACATACATACATACATACATACATACATACATACATACATACATACATACATACATACATACATACATACATACATACATACATACATACATACATACATACATACATATATACATACAGACACATACATAAAACAGACATGCCTATACACATACATTCATCATACATGAATACTTACACACATATAAACTTACATACATACATTCAAATATACATTACATTCATATACTCTTTGGTCAAACAGTGTCGAGTTGTGTTTAAAGGTCAATTTTTTTCTGTTCAGTATTTTTCGGTTCAAAAAATTCCTCAGTCGATTGTTTTAACTTCATCAAGCTCTTTTGAAGCGTTTTTCACCAGTGGTTTTTCCCTATTGATGTTAACTGCTCTTCGGTCGCGCCGATTTTTGTTAAATTTCTTTCAGTCGCACCGATCGCGGTTAATTTTTCTTCGGTCGACCATTTTTTGACCATTCAGTGACCAATTTTTTGACCGCCGCGACCAATTTTTGGACCATGCCGGGACTAATTTTTTGACCCCCACGACTAATTTCTCGTTCATGCCGCGACTAATTTTTCGACCGCCGCGACTAGATTTTTGACTGCTGCGACTAATTTTTCGACCGCCGCTAATAATTTTTTGACCACCGCGACTCATTTTTTGACCACCGCGACTAAATTGCCTTCGGTCGCGCTGGTCGATTTTAACATTCTTTTGGTCAGGCCGGTCGGGGTTAACTTTGTTTCGTTCGCGCTGGTCGCGGACACTGCCTCGATCTGCAAAGTCTGGAAAAACCAAATTTTGGTAGCGGCGGTCTGAAAATGTCATTTTCGGTCGCGGCAGTCTGGAAATACAAAAATTTGGTTGCGACCTTCTCGTAAAACCACAACCTAACATTCTCGTCTCTTCCTTGTTAAAGTCCCTTTTCTTATGAGTATATTCATGAGAAAACAAGCTTCAACAGAGGAGAGAATTAAGTAAATTTCTCCATTTAAACTTACGCGCAGTGAAGTTAACTTTTGTAGCGGAAAAGTAATCATAGATAAGACTATTTGAATGAAAAGAGAGAAAAATTTTACGAATGATGATTAATGAAGTTTCGAAGAGATTTTCAAATTAAGGCGAATGTTTTATTTGTTCTAATCAGAAGACTAAAGGACCGCTTTAACTGTAGTTTAGCTTCTCAAACTAGGCATTGAATATGTTTTATCAGTTTATCAGGAAAAAACATAAAGCCAACTGAAAATCGGCGCACAGAAAATTTTTAGTTGAAGAAGCTCAGAAAAAGTAATTTACTGGGTTCCACTGGGAACAATTTTCTGAGCTTAGCAGTAATTCAATTAAAACGTTTACTATATAGACTTTTTCAATTTGTTGAGTTGAATGAATAACAAAAATTTCAGGCCGTTTTTAATGACAGAATTAATATATCAGTGAATTTTTGGAAAACAAGTATAAAAATATTTTCAAGCCGAAACGTTGCATAAAAAAAACAATTTCAGGGAACTTCCTACATTCTTGCTAAATTGAAATAAACTCCCATTTAAATCATTTTTTATCGCATTTATCATTCAGGTATTTAAAAAAATTTTAGAGGAAAATTCAGAGACAATTTTCAAAAACTACAACTTTTATTTGACAAAATTCAATCAATTTTAGAAGTACACACTTTTACCAAAATCCACATTTTTTCTGCCTATTCATCTGTACATATTGTCTGCCTATTCAACTTTATTAGTACTGAATCTATCCTGGTTAAAGCTAAATACATGATTATTGGAATGTGGTTATATTTCAACTAAAACGTCAAAACTGTTCATAATTTTTCTTTTGCTTCTACAACATGAAATATCATGAACTTTTCAAAGAAGTCTTAAGTTTTAAATTATTTCTTGCTTTCTGTTTTAACAAGTTTCTTGCTATTGAACTCAATTTGACTGAAGTTTTAGGTAGAATCCGGGAATTTAGGGGGTAATAGTATTAATTGAACGAACAATTTGCCGATATTGTACATTCACCGATCAACATTTTTAGTGATAAACATCAAAAACTGAACATTTTTTAAAATTTAAGTAAGCTTTTGTTTATCAGTTAAGAAACCTTAATTGACTACCAATTTTGAAAGTTGTCAGCAAAAAACAACTTTTGCGAGCAGAAACTACCAATTCTCGCAAGTTGTTCGTAAAGTCTCTTTTCAATCTTGATTTTTGTCCAAAGTTCTCAAAAAAGGTTGTGTGAAAACGAACTGAAACCATTCAAAATACATGGTAAAAATGGAATATATAGATGTAATTTTACAAATAATTTGGTGATTGAAATAACAGCAACTATTTCGTTTGTTATCTGAAAATTTTTCCATAGCAGGCCTTTCTCGGGATTTTATTAATTGAAATACAAAAAGAAAGGCAAAATGAAATCTATTTGTGGCCTTCTGAATTTTCCTAAATCTACCAAAAGAACGATCTATGATAATTACCGCAAAAAATAATCAAAAAACAATTTTGTTATATAAATCTTAAGCACATTTGATTAAAAACCATAAGAGTATTCCATTATTACGTTTCTGAAATTTTGCGACCAATAATTATCAATTCTCGCAAATTGTTCGTGAAGTTTCTTTTCAATCTTGATGTTTTATCAGGTTCTCGCAATTGAACTCATTTTGCATGAAGTTTTAGGTAGAATCGGGGATTTTGGGGGGAAATAGTTTCAATTGAACGAACAGTTAGCCGATATTGTACGTTCACCGATCAACAATTTTACTGATAAACCTCAAACGACTGAAAATTAATTTGTAGCAGATAGTTTTTATTTAGCAGATAAAATGCCCTAATTGACTAACTACTTTGAAAGTTGTCAGCAAAACACAACTTTTGCGACCAATAACCATCAATTCTCGCAAATTGTTCGTTAAGTCATTTTTTAATCATGATTTTTGTCCAAAGTTCTCAAAAAATGGTTGAGTGACAAGGAACTGGAACCATTCAAAGTTCATAGTAAAAATTGAATTTCTAGATAAAAATTTGCGAAATTATTGATGATTGAAATAACAGCATCTGAAAATTTTTCTACAGCAGGCCTTTCTCGGGAGTTTCTTTACTTAAATACAAGTAAAAATGCGCAATGAAATCTAGTTGTGAACTTCTGATTTTTCTCAAATCTACCATAATAACGCTTTATGAAAACCAATGCAATAGATGAACAAAACTTTGCGATAAAACAGTTTTTTATAAATCTTAAGCAAGTTTGATTAAAAATCATAAGATTATTCCTCCAATTTTTTAAAAGAAAACAAATTGAGGAAAACCAGAACCAAAATAAAAATTTTGCACTGTTTCTTTTGTGTACGTTCATCAAATATCATATCAGTTAATAGTTTTAATATCCATTTCTGCTAAAATTATCAGTTAATTTGAAATAACTCAAGCAAAAAGACTTATAACTTTCTCGAAAAATCTTTCTTCAATAGAATTTCTTGATTTTTTGAAGAAAATTTTTTTTTCAAAGTTAGGTCTTGGAAGCAGATTTTTCTTTTTTGCTTCGTCTAGTATCTTCCGTAACAACTAATTCGGCTTGAATTCAACAAGAAGTATAGAAAATTCTAGTGAACAAATTTATCAATAAATTGAACGTTTTTGTCTCAGAGTTGTTACTTCGAAGGAAAGTATCCTTAAAACATCTGAATTTTCATGTAATTTTACTTAGTTCATCAAAAATGAACAAAAAAACATGAATTGTACCTAACTAGGCATACTTGGCTA